AGACAGGTATGCAAAGTGTGGCACACACACAATAGGTGAGTTCAAATCCGAACAACCACCAATCCAGCAAACCACTACTGAAAGGATTGCAAACTGTGATCAGGTGTTTGACAGGACGAAAAAGCAAAAGAAAACGAAAAAATATATATATCCAAGGCTTACAAAGCAGCATCAGCATTCCATCGGCAGTGTCAACAACAATGCACAGGTGAGCCTAAAAACCACCCCGACCCCACCCAAACCCACACCCGATAAGGAACCCCCTACCCACCCTCATTTGCACCCGTTTCCCTTCATTTTCTTGCGGGCAAAGCTGCAACAGGTACCCTTGTATATATATATATATATATTTCAGCCTCCTGATGAGTTGGTGAAACTCCGACGAAACAGTTTGTCACTGCCCCTCGTTTGTTGTCCTCTTCTCCCTCTCTGCCTACGGTTTACCGGACAGCTCTGTTTGATGATATATGTCTTTGTTAGAGTTTGTAAGTAATCATGATGCCTTTTGCAGGTGGGCAATCCTTTTGGTCTGGACAACACTATCACTCTTGGGATCATAAGCAATTTGCATCGTACATCAGCCGAGGTGAGTTTGTCTGACGCTGGGCTTTTTTTTCAAGGCGCAGTCTTTTCGGGTGTGTTAATTACTGATTTTCCCCAAACATGACTTTCCATCATCATGGACGTATTCAAAAACTTTCTTCCTCTCAATAGAAAATCCCATCATCATGAATGTGTCTACAAACCCTGTTGCTGTCCAAACACAGTCATGATGCTGAGGCATTGCATTGCGGCCTCAGTTTGTACTGATAGAATTGACCAGGTGTTACTCTGCCTTCTTTTTTTTTATTATCTAAAAAAATAGCAAGATTTGGACCATTTTGCGACTGATGTGTGTCATCCTTGCGCAGGTGCCGTGCTAATCTTCTTTGTTTCGTCGAATCCTTTTAACGTGTGTCCCGTCGGACAGTTGCTCTGGCTGTATTTTATAGCTTTCGGGATCATTTCGCATTATTTGCATTTCATTGTGTGCATTTAGTGGAAGAGTTCTCCAGCTGTATTACCTTTCCCCCCCCCGAATACAAATATGTTCATTATACCTGTATTTAGGCTGAAAGATATCCCAAATACAGCTATAACGGCCATACGTTGTATTCGGGGGAAGAAGGTGTTTACCTTTCTACATGAACCACCAGTTTGTAATGGGTGATTTCCACCTGAAGAAAATTGTCCCGCATAAAGTGCATAGACCTTTCCCGTATACAATGCACCAACCTCAATCAGGTGGGTTCGTTGAAAGTGTTATCTTCCTTGCTCACGGCCGCAAATTTGCTAGGCCTTCTGGAGATCAGGTCGCTTGATTGACTTGTTGGTTTGTTTTTTTTTCCAAATTTTATCTCGAGTCGCAACCTGGATGTATCTTAGATTTCTATACATGCTAACAAGCACTGGGTTGGTGAAGGAGGGAGTTGGATAGTCTGTATGTGGACACACTCACTAACATTTTTTGGCTAGAACATCACAATGGCGTCTTCGGCAGTTTAGGCTAGAACATGACAAGGATCTCGAACTTGAAAGTATCTGCACTGCAACCAAGTTCCAAGTGTGATTTTTTTGGCATGACGCGTGGGGGCATGTGGTGCATGGGTGAGCGTTCACAACAGGTGGGCATTTGGTACAGGGTTAGTTGCTACCTTCCCCAGTATACAACGTACGGTCATTATAGCTGTATSTAGACTGAAAGATGCCTCAAATACATCTATAATGACCGTATGTTGTATTCGGGGGAAGAAGGTAGGCAGATGGGGGCATTTGGTACATGGGTAGTTGCTAGGCAGGTGGGGGCATTTGGTGCTGGGGTAGTTGCTAGGCAGGTGGGGGCATTTGGTACAGTGGTAGTTGCCAGCCAGGTGGGGGCATTTGGTACAGGGGTAGTTGCTGAACAGGTGGGGGCATTTGGTACAGGGGTAGTTGCTGCAGGTGGGGGGATTTGGTACATGGGTAGTTGCCAGCCAGGTGGGGGCATTAGGTACTGGGGTTGTTGCTAGGCAGGTGGGGGCATTTGGTATAGTGGTAGTTGCCAGGCAGGGGGGCATTTGGTACAGGGGTAGTTGATGAACAGGTGGGGTCATTTGGTACAGGGGTAGTTGCTGAACAGGTGGGGGCATTAACAACATGGGTGGTTGCCAACTTTGCTATTCGTATTGTCCCTCCGCTCTCTCTTGTTCTCTGTGTCCCTCTCCACATTCTCCTTCTTGTGGGTCCCTTCACTGCCACACAATCATTCGGAAACCACTTTTGGAGTTGGTCAAGACAGGAGTTGATGAGGCAGACGGATGTGTGGGTACCTTCTGCTTAACTACAAGACATGGGAACCTTGCAATGGATACTGTTTCATATTGATCATTTTGTTCAGGAATGAATGGAGATGGTAAGTGGGTGAACATTGGCAACACTCAAAACTCAGATGCACAGTGGACTGAAGACAGTGAGGGGATGTTTCAAGCAGAATGCGGACAACAAATTCAAATATTGCGCTCACATACAGTAATGAGCCCAGACTTCAAAACAACATCCCATTATGCCACAACGAGCACACACGGCAGCACACGATAGATGGGAACTGAAACACATGATATGAGAACTCTAATTCAACGAAAGCCTTGTGCAACAACTTCCTTGGTGCCGTCGTACGCAACAAAAAGGTGATGCCGGGCAAGATCAATCTAGAGGCCAAGTGCAAATCGAAAACAAGCGTAAGAGGGTTGTCAGGAGGAGCAGGACGATGTGGCCAACTACTCATAACGTACTGACTCGTGGCGCGATAGCTGGGGAATTCCAAGCCAGATGACTGAAACTACACACAGCATGCAAAAAGGCTTAGGTTATCAATTCACTTCATGGCAGTTCATGCCAAAATATTGCCCCTGTTTCTCCTCCAATTCACCGCAAATATTGCTCTCGGACTTGTTGTGGCCCGAGAGCAAGTATTACCCAGCACCACGAGTCGCTTGCCAGGTGTCACTAAATCTCCTTCTCGCCAGTGGACCACTTGTAGATTAGTCCATGCTTCAGAGCTGCACGCCAACCAGCTCTCGCCACCTTGAAACGACTGAGAGTTTTCTGTGATACCAAATCGCAATGATCACAGACTTTGAAACATCTCATGCCACAAGGAGTACAGGCGTCAGCACACATCGGAGGAAACTCTAACACATGATATGAGAGCTAGTTTGGAAGCCAAGTCTTGTGCCACAAGTTTGTATGCCCCAAGGCTGGGCGTCTATGGCTGTCAGCAAGCAACAACCAGGAGGAAACCTCAATCTCGACCCTCAGGACTCTGGAGTTTTGAATCTCTCTCTCTCTCTCTCTCTCTCTCTCTCTCTCTCTCTCTCTCTCTCTCTCTCTCTCTCTGCCTGAATGTCTTCTCTTTCTTCCTTGCCTACGATATACCACAGCTATGGGGCCCAGCGCATGTTGATTACAGCCACCTGCAGCCTCACTTTCTATCTCACTTGTCCCTTGGGTGGCAAGTCTGAGAGTAGTTCAAATTACTAATTGTCTGACAGCGACTATTGCTGTGCTTTTGTGTGCAGCAATTCTGCTTCCCAGCCTTGAACTTGTAGGCTCAGCCCCCGTGACCTTCTTGCTGGAGTCTGTCAACCTCTGACAGTTCCGTAATGTGCACTGACTTTCTTGGGACCCTGGACTGTTACTTAACTGAGACTCAGCTGGACTGGAGTGGATGAGACTGCAGTGCAATGGAGTGGAATATAACCTACCGGGTGTCTGCACTACCAAACCACCGTCTTAACCCGAATAGAATGCCTGGTCATTATCACTGCGTCTGTACTGAAAGCTGCTGGAAGTACAGCAATAATGACCAGGCACTCTTCGGGTTAAGACGGTAGTAGTGTGGACTTGGTAACTATTTCTGGGACCGAATTGGATCGGTGCTAGATCCTTGTCTGGATCCTGGAGACTACAGTGCCGGCGTGCAGGTTCCTTGTGGGTTCTTTCCCCCCTGTGATGACCCATCCATTCATGGACTGAAACACACAGCTGATTTCTGGGTTTTGCCCATAGACTGAATTCCCTGCTGAGTTTCCCGCTTGCTACTAAGTCTGTGTGTGCACGCTTGCTGGACTGCATGTCTGTCTGAGTGCTGGATGGCTTGAGTGTGTATTGACCATGCCTGTCTGAGTGTTGGTTGGCCTGCGTGTGTGAGTGACCGTGCCTGTCTGAGTGCTGGTTGGCATGAGTATGTGTTTGGCCCGTCAGGGCACTGGCTCGTTCGTTTGGTCCTCAGGGCCGGTACTTACCTGTGGCCGTGACATTGAGGGGTTGCAGCGGGGAAAACACTCAAGTAGCGGGTAGGCCGGTACCGCACCTGGAAGGGGTAGATGTGCAGGTACCAGAGGCCGAGCAGAAGAAGACAAAAGTGGCATTTTTAGAGGCCCAGTATTTGTAGGTAGGTCTAGGCGGATATCAGTCCAACCAGTCTGGGTCTAGGGCCTGTAACGGGCAATATCAGAGTCTGCAATGATGTTTCCCTCCGAAAGGGAGAAGGTACCGGTTGCTTGGGAGGCCGAGCGGCCTGGAAGTCACCGCCCAAGAGGCAAAGCAGGCCGCTATATCTTCTGGCCGGGCGGAGAGTCCGGCCTCTTTTTTGGTGTGCAAGTTTGGTGACACAGTGGTGGAGCGCTGGCTGGAGCAGCGCTGCTGGGGAGGAGGAGAAGGACACGAGGGAGGAAGGGGGAGGAAGAAGGAAGGAAGGGGGAGGAGCGCCAGGGGTACTTACCTGGCTATGGTGGCGGCCATCTTCATCACCTTGGTGGGCGCTGCAGCAGGGAGTCCCCAGCTGGGGAGAGCTACACCAAGAAGCTTTGGGGCAGGGTCAGGCATGGTGGCCTGAGCTAGAGCAGCCATTTGGGCATCTGAGCAGAGCCCAGTAGTCCGCCATAGCCTCGGCCTATGAGAGAGAAGAGTGAGAGAGGTGGCCATGGCTATGGTGGACCTTAAGTAATACCTGCAGTAGAAGAGGGACTCGGACATTGATTCTGGATCAGTCATTCAACATTGTATTATTATTTCTTGTATGAATAAGACAAGGGGGAGATAAGGAGGAGGAGAGTGTTGGGCGAAGAAGAAGAGCATTGTCATTGTCTTCGCTGTTGTACATCTTCTTCTTCTTTCTTATGTCTTTTTCTTCTCTTAATCCTCTCTCTCTCCTCTCAAGTTCATTCATTTCTTTCTGCAATTGGATGGCATTGTACTTTCCGGTGGATGTGTATCTCGAAATTGGCCAGGGTCTTAACATTGGTATCAGAGCGGATTCTACGTGCTGGTGAGAGTTGACTTTGCTGCCCTAACCCTAACCTAAGTGGTTGAAGGGCAACACTTAGGGTTAGGGTTTGTTGGTTGAGGGAAGTGGGGCAGCGTGGCTAAGGGAAGCTGCCCCCACCTGGTTAGGTCATGTGGGGTCGACATAGAACCTAACCAGGTTGCTTGAGAGTGAGATTAGGGTGGCGAGACATTTCGAGGAGACTTTATGCGGCGATTGAGAGAGTCAACAGTTGGAGGCAC